CATCAATGCCCTGACAGGGACCACAGTAAGCAAAGCAAAGCTGCCAATAGGAGTCGCCAATATCCTTACCCCAAACAGAAAGAGTCCTGTGTTTAGATCAGCACCCGGTACCCTTCTGTAAACACTAATTCTATATGTTGACCTTCAGGCATTGTTCTCCTTCAATTTCTGGCTAAGCCTCGCTCTGACTATTCTGTAGAGCATGGCTTTCTCCTGCTTATGGATTCCCAGTGTGAGCATTGGTTCTTTAGCCCTGCTGTCAGAGAGTCACACCACATACAGAAGGTACTGCAGTAGCGAACAACAGAAGCCCAAGTGGGGCTACAAAAGATAGTTTTACCACCAAAGTGTGAGTCTGTCACCATCCTGAGCTGCCCCGGAACACACCTGGTCATAGCAGGTGGCACATAGAAGTACTTTTCTTTTGAGGTGCTGAGCATTTTCTTATCACCTTTTCAAATTCATGGACTCAAAGTCAAGGGCACCCCATTCTGAGACAAGGTTTGAAAATGCTTGTTCTTCGATATGTAGTGCATGTCTCAAGAATATTAGCATTAATAACCTCGAGCTATTTGTGTGAAGGAAGTCTACCCAGTTTGGAGTGGGGGACTGGGGAAATGGGTAAAAACTATTTCATTTCTTAAAAGCCCAGTTCATGGCAAAAATAGGAATCCCAAGACTATTGGGGAAGCTAATTCAGGGGAAAGAAAATCAGAACTGTTGCTCAGGAAAAACATGACCTGTTTAAGATAGAATTATGTTACTCAGACTTTAAAACTCCTCAGATAAGTTGGCTCCTAGTTATTTCATAAATAAAAATTTAAGCTGGACATGATGGTGCAGAGCTCAGGATGGAACCTGAGGCAGGAGGATTGCCATGAGTTTGAGGCCACCTTGATCGACACAGCACTAAGCCAGATCTACAGAGAAATATCAAATAAATAAATAAATATCAAAATGTGAAAATTCCAGGATGTTCGCTTGTCAGAGCTTTCATAAGACATTAGATTTTATTTCTAGTAAGGAATGAAGTATTCATCACATACCCCATATGATTTCAACAAACTGTATATTTGTTAACGTATTTTGTTCTTAGAATAATATCGAGGTAGGCACTACTATTATCTCAGTCTTTGGTAGGGGGAAGGAGGAAGAAACAGATGAGGAACGTGCCTAGGATCTCATAACTGGGCTTTGGCAGGGTAGGCTCTGATTCCAGCATCATCATCTCATGACCAGATTGAGTGTAGGTGGTTGTAGGTCCATGCTGACGGTGTGGGCATAATAAGATAGGATGTATTAAATGCCATGTGCTGTAGCCATAAACCCTTCACACAGGTGTCCTCTACCTCAGCACCGTGAATAGGCTATATTATGTCTGGGTCACAGTAAACTGAGCCTTCCCCAGGGAAAGGGGTTCACACAAGTTCCTAGAAGGCTGAGTCCTCACCCTAGGCTTGGCCCATGTGTCTCCATCCACCATACTCGCTCCTCTCCTACAGTGTGTTAGTGATGCTTTTCTTTGTGTGTGTGTGTGTGTGTGTGTGTGTGTGTGCGTATGCATGAGGTACAAGGGCTCTCCCTGTCTTCTCCCCAGTGCGGGGTGGGAGGGTTACAGACACCTTGTTCCTTGCCTTCACAGGGGTGTTGGGGATCCAGCCCCAGATCCTAATACTTGTACAGCAGGCCCTTTACATGACTGAACTGTCTTCCCAGCCCCTTGTAGCTCTTACATAGTCACGCCAAACATACTAAGTAATCATTTGATGGGGTCAGAGGGCCAAAAATGGCCTCCTTAACTGTTCTGTTCTCTTCCCCTGCTGCTACCAACCCCAAACCCATCCCATCGCCACTCTTACCCCTAAGAGGCACAAACAGCCTCCATGGAGATTTCTGAGAAACACCCCAGTGAGGTAGGACTGTTTCCCAAGGTCTGAAAGGCCATCCAGGAGAGAGTCCCCACTTCAGCACCTGCTGGCACATCAAGCTGTTGTGAGGACGGGCGCCTGGCACGAGCAGACTTAAGCTGGAGGCCCTCTTCAGACCCTCAGAGAGAACTTACTTCCTTGTCCCCTGAGTTGTTTGAGTCACATGGCCTTTCCCCCCTTTTCTCCCTACAGAGAGTGCACAGGCGTCTTTCCCATTTGTCTCTCACACACAACACACATCGTTTCACACAGGCGCACAACACCCTATGGGTGGAAGAAGCCTTCTGTGTGTGGGTCTCAGACTCCCTCTGACCTACCCCTCCCCCGTGTTTTTCCCCATTAGGCAAATGGAAGGCCCCTTGCCACCTGTTAGCATTACGTCATTGGCTCCTCAGAGCACAGTTGTACCCGAGGCCTTAAACAAAGTAGTTCTTCTTGTATTGTTTGCATTCAAAGAGCTGATATCATGCCAACTGATGTCATTGTGTGTCTTTGTGTGACTGCTATGGCAACTGGGCAGGTGGGGAGCCTCCGGCTGATGTCACTGGGAAAGGAGGGGCAGAGACTGAATTTTAAAAAGCTCTATGCTGGGTATTTTTTTGTGTGTGTGGGAGTGGGAGGGGGTTGGTATGCTTTTATTTTTATTTTTTTTTCTAACTAGCTGCTTTTAAGACAAATTACAGCTTGAATACACTAAATAAGAGTGAGAGCCCGCCTTCCCACCTCCCAGCCTCGCCTTTTGAGTTTAGTTCCCCAGTCCTTCCTCTCAACTTATATGGAAAATGTTACAAGTGCCTTTTTCTTAAGGAAAAAAAAAAAGTGAATTAGGTTCCCCTGGCAGGATCAGCATGGGGCTCTTTACTGGGGGATTTGTGGAGCCCAGCAGATTTCAAGATCTTTCCTCCCAGTGTCCTCTGGAGTTTGGGGCAGAAGTGGTGGGTAGTTTTTATACATTCATTGGTGATGTTTTTTTCGTGTCTTGTGGTTGGAAGGGTTCCCTCTGGGCTAGTCACCCGAGTATAGTGATTTCACAACAGAAGATAACAGTAAGGACAGAGTTTAATTACAGAAACTAAGTCAAATGAATGTATGTGCGCTCCTCCAAACAGTTTTCATTTACTTTTCTCCTTTTTGACTGATAGTCTGAGCACAGGCTTGTCTGTCCTGACTTGTCTGTGGATCGTCGCCATTTCCTACTGAAAATATGACCTGTGTTCTGACATACACCTGGCTGTGCCCATCGCTTGGGGTTATGCTCTGTTCAGGTCCCCTGCTCTAGTGGTCAAAAGAAAAAATGAGACGAAATGAGGAAGAAAGTGGCGTCAGTTAAGTATCTGGTGGGCAAATGGACTTCCTGCCCTTCTGTTAGCACAGACATATGTCCTATTCAGGGTTTGTGCTTTCGGCCTCATGCCTGGGAGCTATCAGACTCTGTGACTGGCAGGACATTACTTCCGGGAACTTCCCTTTCCCCAGAAGCCTTGAGTCCCATCCTGCTCTACTGGCACACATGCTCACTGGATGACCCCATCCATCCCCAGGTCTCTTACTGTCTCTCGTGTACCTTGTAGAATTTGAGCCTCATAATCATTCAGGTTTGTCTGTGTGTAATTGTGTGTAACATAAGAAAGGGAAAATTAAGTGACAAACTCTGACCCATAAATTTCCTTAATTCTTTTTATGTATACGCTTTAGGCTTTTTTTTTTTTTCAGAATGTTTTGAATTAGCTGTTTCTTAATATTAAACAGAAGCATTCTCTTTGATGTTTTTTATATTCTTTGCATAGTTATTCCTTTAATGGGTACATAATATTCCATGGATGAATTCAATTATTAAGTTTTATTTCGGTATTTACTTAGCCTTTTCTTTTTCTAACTTACTATTATTGTGTGTATGTTTACGTGTGTGTGTGTGTGTGTGTGTGTGTGTGTGTGTGTGTTGGAGCCAGATCTCTGCTTCCACCCTTAAGCAGATGGTATTGTGTGAACATCTCCATGGATCTAATCACACGCCTGTGGCTGTGTGATTTCCATAAGTGTCTGTACTAACACCAGGCCCTTTTGCATGCTGAACGTGGGGAAACAGGTGCAGCTAGGCCTTTGAAGTGATTCCGCCTCAGCTTTGGAGTTAGAGCAGAGCCTCAAGCTCAGAGTGTGCATTAGCAGACCCAGCAGAGGTCAGAGGTCACCATGAGGGGGGTTAGTGTGCTTGTAATCCTCTAAAAGCTAGGTACTGGAAAAGGGGCCATTCACAGATGCCACTCTCCTGGATGTCAAAATGTGCAAACATCAAGGACCTGTGTGGACGGTCATGTAGATTCTGACTCTCTCCCAGGGGTGACTTCCCTGGCCCAAGTTTCCCTCTGCTGTTTCCACCTTTGGGCAGCCATAGAAATAAGATGAATAGGAATAGCTTGTCCATAGAGGGACCATGCAAGCCTGGGGGTAGAGGGTATGCTGAACACTTGACCTGTGTTTATCCCCATCTGGGACTCACCCTGTACACTCGTGGGGTTACTGAGACACACAGAGAGAAAGAAATGAGCTTGTGCAACTCAGCAGGCAGGTCAGCGGTGATAGTAGGACAACAGCCAGCACAGCCTGGCCTTTCCACAGGGCCTGTTTGCAACTGCTCGGCCGCCTAGGGAGTGAACTTGGCTTTTGGTAAGGTGAGTTATAAATGGCGCAGGACGTGTGCGCACGACACCAGGGCACAAGCAGAAGCTGTCTGCACGACAGTGCCAGCCTGCTTTTCTCAGCCCCTAAAGTACACTGCTCTACAGAGGTCAGGGACCTTAAGTCTGTTAGAAGCAAATCAAATTTGCAGTTGATGAAATTGCTGGGTGCTGGGTGGCGCTTGTTCCCAGGCACCTTGGCCCAGTTTGTGCAATAAGGAGTGCAAGCCCTCTGAATCTGGCTCTGAGTGTCAAAATACACTTCTGGTTTCTGTTTTTATTTTAGGAATGTTAAAAATGTGCATAGCCACAGTGGCACTCATCTTTATGGGGAAGCTGCCATTTTCCGTGGGCTCTGTCATCTTCTAAACACGTGCTTTGTATGTTTTCCTTCCAGGGGGACTCAGTAGTTTTAAACAGAACCATGAAAACCTCTGTGACAACTCCCTCCAGCTCCAAGAGTGCCGTGAGGTGGGGGGCGGCGCATCTGCGGCCTCGAGCATGCTACCTCAGTCTGTCCCCACCACCCCTGACATCGAGAACGCAGAGCTGACGCCCATCCTGCCCTTCCTGTTCCTTGGCAACGAGCAGGATGCTCAGGACCTAGACACCATGCAGAGGCTCAACATCGGCTACGTCATGAACGTCACCACTCATCTCCCGCTGTACCACTACGAGAAAGGCCTCTTCAACTACAAGAGGCTGCCTGCCACTGATAGCAACAAGCAGAACCTGCGGCAGTACTTCGAAGAGGCCTTTGAGTTCATTGGTAACTAGCTCCCGGGGGTGGGGCAGCTCTCCCTTCCCTCCGGCTCTGGGTTTGATATAAGGCCCAAGGTTTATTCCTAAGTTAGGGGAAGACAGACAAACCATAGTCCTTCCTTTAGGTCTCGGAACTATCTGGATGGATATAAAAGAATAGTTGAATTAGCGAGATTTCCATTTCCATGGCTGAAATACCTGAGAGGCTGACCTGAAGGGAGCAATTATCTTGGCTTATGATCTCAGAGGCTTCAGGCCTTGGCCTTGTTGATTCTGGGCCTGTGGTGGGACAGAACATGGCAGTGGATGTGTATGATCAAGACTGCTGAATTCATGGTGACTAGGAAGGGAGGGGCCAGGACAACATATCGCCTTCAGTGACACTTGGAAGTAGTGTGTGACCTACTTCCCAAGGCCAGAGTCCCCCTCTAAAGTTTTAGAGACCTTTGGAAGCAGTACCACCAGCTGGAGACCAAGCATTTGACACAGGTCTGGAGCCGTTTCATATTCAAACTAAAGACACAGGCACTGTCTTTGTCTCACACCTGTTCAACCACAAGTTCCTATCTATCCTCCCGATAACAAAGCAGCTACGGTGGATGCTGGATGTTAGCTACTGAATGACCAGAAGGATGAAGGGGAACATGAGGAACTAGTCAGAGCTGGTCCTGCTGCCTAGTCTGTGTGGTGCCGCCCCCAGCGCTGAAGGACACACCAAATAGAGACTGATATCACCTTTAACTGTCCCCAAACCTCCATACCACCAGCTTTATTGACCCAGCATAGGGCAAGTGATTTCCATTCAGTACTGTGAGCTACACTGAGTCATGGTTGTTGCTGTTTTGACAGAAAAAGAGTCTCAAGTTTAGCATCTGCCAGGGTGATGGATCTGTTGGCATACTGGCAGCTCTGGACACTTGCTTGCCTGTTTTCCCTTCCAGTTTGTCCGGCAGTGCTGGGCCCTACCATGGGCACTCTGGAAGGATAGCCAGTGTTCTCTAGACTCAGAAGTAAGGTGACCTGTCCGTGTCAGGAATCCTAGTGTCAGAAGGGAACTGGGGGTTGAGGAGAAGGCACGTCGAGGAAAAGTGTTTACTCATGAGAGTGAAGACCTGAGTCTGAGTCCCCCAGAACCCAAGGAAAGTCAGATGCTGGAGTACACATCTGTAATGCCTTCTCGCCTATAGCAAGATGGAGGTGGACAACCCCTAGCCATGTACAGGATAGCTAGCTTGGTGTCCACAGTGGCACAAGAAATCCTATCTCAAAGAAGGTGGTAGGCAAGCACCCATATTGACTTCCAAAGGCAGGAGAGAGAGAATGAGAATAAAAAATAAAAACAAAGGACCTAGTGTCCTAGTAGTCTAGACTCTTAGCCAGGACTCCTAAGCCAATACTCTGGGCCCATGCTGTGTTAATTAGTTCCAAGCACTGGGTAAAGATGCCCTGGATCCTTTATTCATAAAACCCAAGCCAAGCCTGGATCCTGAGTAGGAAATGCTTGTCACCAGGTAGACAAGGAAGTTCCTGGTCAACAGAGGCTGTTAGAAAGGAGAGTCCACCTGACCTAATTCCAGGTGGAGGAAGTTGGGAAATTGTTTTCCATTTAGCTAATAGCATGGGATGGGCTTGTTCTAAGATTACAGCCATGGTGCTCACATTCCTTCTGGATTATTCAGATTTACCTGCTCCTTTAGAAGAAAACAAAACTAATAACAAGCAACATTTAGCCTGCAGAACAATTCAGGATCACGTGTTTGGGCTCACTTTGTTCTCCTTGTCCTCTGATTGGATCAACTGAAATTTTACAGTGTGGCCTCAAGGGAAACACAGCAGGGTGCACAGCATACTAACATTCACCCTAGTTTAATATAAACTAAGCAATGCCCAGGTTTAGGGCTTAACAATGCCAGTGTAACCGCTGAATCAAATGACTCCCTTTCCACAGTTCCAGAGGCTGGTGAGCTCGTGTCCTTTGCATTATCCAAGCAGGAAGACCGAGGTCCTGGGAGGTCAGCACACTCACAGGGTCACTCAGCTAGGGTGTTAGTGGAACAGGTGGTCAAACCCATGGTGCACCTTGATCGTTCTCTTGCCACCATGTTTGATGTTCTTGGTTTGGGAGGTCATTTAGCGTCTGCTGAAGAGAAGCTGACAAGGGGAGATTTTCTTGAAGCATTGCTCTGGGGTCTCTTGATACAAACTTGTCTAGTGGTTGGTGAGAATGAGATTTACATCATGTTTGTCTCTTGGTCTACTAGTTAGCAGATGATTTAAAGCAAAGGGATAAATCTTTACCCAGTTCTCTTCTACCTCGTCACTGACCTGCATTCCTCCAGGGACTCCTCCTTGGGGATGTGTTTTAGTCTAGAAGTGTCACTAAAATGTTGTCCAGTGCTGACAGGCATCCAAAGCTTTTAGTATTAGACATGCCACTTTCTGTTGTTCTCGGTTCTAACATACTTGGGAGTTCTGCCTCCCAAATGATGGCAATGTAGGAACCGTGTATGTGGGGGTGAGGGGTTAAATGCGTGAGAGAGGTCAGTCCTCTACAAGTCTAATTTTGACAACAGTTGGGGTCTCTGGTGAGAAGCTGGGTGTAGGAACTTTCTGGTTGAGCTTCATTCCTTCCCTTCCATGGAGATTTAGTAAACCTTATGCACTAAATGGTAGCTCTTAGAGAGAACAGTCTTCTATAGCATAAAGAAAGGTAGGGGTGTGTGTGTCTAGCGTGTAGACTACACATTGCTAATAGCACTAGTTTTTCAGTCATATGATCATATAACCTGGAAAATGGAATTAATATTGTTAATCAGAAGAATTTTATAATATATGCACATTTATGTATGTGATATAATTTCCAGTTTCTCTGTTGTCCTTATTTTCCTTCCTTTTTTGTCAGTGGTATGATTTTAGAGGAAATAGAAAAGGAACAAGATAGTTGGGAAAGAGAGATTCAGTAACATTTATGTTGAGTGTAGTAGCTTGCTTGTCATGAGTGTGTCCGTGTGTCCCGTTGTCAGTATGGCTAACTTAGTGGCTTGCTTGATCATGAGTGTGTCTGTGTAGCTTAGTAGCTTCCTATTCATGAGTGTGTCCGTGTGTCCTGTTGTCAGTATGGCTGGCTTTAGTAGCTTCCTATTCATGAGTGTGTCTGTGTGTCCTGTTGTCAGTATGGCTGGCTTTAGTAGCTTCCTATTCATGAGTGTGTCTGTGTGTCCTGTTGTCAGTATGGCTGGCTTAGTAGCTTCCTATTCATGAGTGTGTCTGTGTGTCCTGTTGTCAGTATGGCTGGCTTAGTAGCTTCCTATTCATGAGTGTGTCAGTGTGTCCATCCTCTGTGATGTGTGCTGCTCCCACAGATGACTCCCTTGCTCCATCTTCTCTCTGGATGTACAACTGTTGATGGCTCAGCAGGTTCTGCACTTACCACGCAAACATGAGGGTGGGGGCTCAGATCACCAGAGCCCCACATATGGGCCGTGTAGCTGCAGTAGCCTGCCTGGAATCCCATGGCATGAGGGACTGTGATGGGGACCCCAGAGCAAACTGGCTACCTGGACCAGCAGAAGAAGTGAGGTCCAGGTTCAGCAAGAGATGCTGCATCATATAGCATGGACATCAACCATGGCCTTCCAGAGACACAATCATTCACACATATGCAAACATGCACCTACAGTCACATGTACCACACATGTACCACACACACACACACACACACACACACACACACACACACACACACCAAAAAGAAAAAAGGAGGGTCAGTGACATGGCTTAGCGGTAAAAGGTGCTTGCTGCCAAGAGTGACAACCCACATTCAATCCCTACAAACTGGTATTGTGGAAAGAGAGAAGTGACCCCTTCAGGTTGTCCTTTGACCTCCCCATGTGCACTGTGGCATGTGTATCCTCCCAGACTTTTTTTTTTTTTTTTAATAATTTAAGAACATGCAGACCGGCAGCTCCTGCTTGCAGCCAGCTCTGTAGCTCGTGACTTGAGCATGTAGAATGCTCTGGTACATATACTCTGGAACCATCTGAGTCCATTCTTTCTGTACGAAAGGAAGCCTCTCCTTCTCCTCCCCCTCACCACCTGTCTGTCTGTCTGTCCCACAGAGGAAGCGCATCAGTGTGGCAAGGGCCTCCTCATTCACTGCCAGGCGGGCGTGTCCCGTTCTGCCACCATCGTCATCGCCTACTTGATGAAGCACACGCGGATGACCATGACTGATGCTTACAAATTCGTCAAAGGCAAACGACCAATTATTTCCCCAAACCTCAACTTCATGGGGCAGTTGCTGGAATTTGAGGAAGACCTAAACAATGGTGTGACACCACGGATCCTTACACCAAAGCTGATGGGCATGGAGACGGTTGTGTGACAGCAGGCACAATGGAAGGGGCCCTGGCTGTGTTCGGAGATGAACTGGAGTGAAGGGGGGGGTCTGGTTTTGTTTTTGTTTTTTGTTTTTTTTGTTTTTTTTTTTGTTAAGTTGGGAGAATGTTTGTGAAAGGAAACGAACTTGTCTAAAGACTCTATTTTTAATAAGTGTGAGGAGACTATAACTTCTGATGCCAATGAGATTCACTTATCTTGATCTGGTATTGCAAGGAGGTTAAAGAGGTCATTTTTTAAAGTCAACAAATAAAAATATTATGAAACTTGTTTCTCCCCAGTTTTCCTTGTTAGCCGTTGTAGAGTTTGTGACTAAATCGTCTGTCTGTGCGGGCTCATAGACCGAAGATACCACACTTCAGTTACAAAGAACCAAAAGGAGGTGCAAAAGACATTGACTCTCGAAGACCTGGAACCTCCTGGCCAACCATGTAGAAAACAAACCCCGCCAAGCCATGCCCTGTTGTGCTCACTGATGCGAAGAGAAGGGCGGGCAGCTCAGTGGTCTCAGATCACTTCCTGCACTCTCTGAAGAGACAGAGGGTATTGTTGGTTTTGTGTGTTTCATGCTCTGGATAGTTTTTCCCTTTCTCTGGGTTTGAAAGATTTTTTTTTTTAATAGAAAGAAATTGACCTTTATACCATGTGCCTTTTCTGGCACTTGTGCAATAAAAATGGTGTTTTGAGTGTGTGGGTGAGTTAGAACTGGCAGCTGAGCTTGGAGATAGAAATTCAACAATACCAGTGGCTTTCCCTCCCACCCCTCTCCCTCTTTTCCTTTTCTTTCTTTCCTCTTCTTTTTTTCTTTGATTTGATTCTGGTTACAGTGCCATAAACCTTGTTACATATGTATATCAGAATGTAAAAAAAAAAAAAAAAATGGGGAGACATCTGACGCCAGGGATCCAGGGATCTGCTCACTGGATCCGAACTCGGCAGCAGGATCCAACACACCCAGACACTGTCAAGGCCCAGGTAACAGTCCCACCTCCATCCACAAGAAAAGGACAGATATCAGAGTATTGGAACTATTTGCATCTATCAGAAGGGAACCTTGGTCCCAAACCCAGCAGGAGAGGAAGAGACTCCTGCTACACCCACCAGAAGAAAGGATGAGAAGAGGACAAGGCAAAAGCACATTCAACAACAGAAAACCCAATATGACACCACCGGAGACTAGGAACCATACACCAGCAAGACCTGAACATCACAATGCAGATGAAGCAGAAGAAAATGACCTTAAAAACATCTTCATGAAATGTCATACATTTCATGTCATACAGAATACTAACTATTTTTAGAAATAAGCTTCATCTAGCTTCCTCTACATACTTTTGGGTTTGAGTCTGAAGCAGATAATTAGGAACTAAGTTGTGTGCCCCAGATGTACTTAATAGATTGTGGTTCTCTAACTTTTCAAAGACCTGCTGTATATGGTATTTAAAATGTTTATGTTTTCTTCAGTGAACTATGACTATTCCTAAAAAAGACATTTGAGGTCTCCAAAATGATGATGATATCCTGCAATGACAAGTCCACCTGTACTGTGGTAATGCCATTAAGCTGACAAATGCCACCAAAAATCAGTCTCAGGCTACAAACTGCTCGGGGCAACTTGAAAGCTGCTAGTCTTACAGGATACTCCAGCCAGGGCTTCAGTTAACCCCTGCACTTTCTCACACAAAGACTGGACAACAGATGATGCAGCTAGCTCTCTCAGGACTTGACCATTATCCCAGTGTTCTCAAGGTCCCCTAAAATTGCCAGCAACAGCCAATGGGAAGTAATTTTAAGAAT